GAAAGAGCAGATGGATTGAGCTCTGCCTCATGGCAAAACTTTTGCAATCAAGTCAGTTTAGGCTCATTAGCCTAAGCATGATGAGGTTTATTCCCTCCTGAGCTCTGTGGCACTAGGACAGGAGGAACTGAGCCCTCTGCCCCTTCAGGTCCCTCCACAAGTGAGTAGACATGGATACAGTCAAACTGAGAGGAAAACACATCACATTATTTCCCCCCATCAGATAAAAAAACCCTCTCAGCACTGCTGGGCTGTGTTTGGCTCACCCACTGCAGAGCTCATTGATTCCAGCAGAATGTTCTCCAGGAACCACACATGGCCTGAGGTTCCCAGAGCAAGGCAGCCATGCAAAACATGCCACAGCAACAATCCAGCATATATTTGGGAAGAAAGATGTCAGGAAAGGAGGAATCCTGCCCCTGCTGCTGCAGCCTGAAAAGAAAACTCAGAGGAGCTGCAGGGAAAGCAGAGAGCAGCAACCAGGCAGGTCCTACATGTGTAGGTCCCATCCCAAGGTGGGGGGGAAAAACCCCAAAAATATCAACATAAAGAGCTTTAAATCCTTCTCAAGTCCTGAGGAGCAGCTGCTGCCTGAAATGGCCTTTGACACTTCCATCAACATTTTTCCTTGGAGTCAATCAACCATTTCTTCTGACCTTTTCAGCTCCTAACAAGATATCTCCACACAAGGAGACACACAGCCCTGCAACACCCAGCCCTAATTAGAGTGACTTCTCAGATGTGAAATTCCCAGGAGATTACAAGATTTGGCCTTGTTTTCTTCACATGAGGAACCTTTTCATCCAAGCTTAATTCTTTTTAATGAAGTTTTTTGGAAGAGCATTCTCTGTGCATTGATTACTAGGAGACATGAGAAGGAGAAATGGTTGTTTTAGAGGATCTCCTGGATCAGGATTGACTGTGGATCCAAACCAGCTCAATCTCTGTTCTCAGACAATGTTCCTGCACTAAATTCAACAGAAGCTTATGCAGAGGAAGATGAATCAGCACAGAGATGCCACAGAAGCTGAAGAGAGAAGCTTCAAAGAGTCATATGGAGAAGAGAACAGAGTTCTAAAAGCAAAGTGGAAAAGCTCCTTGTGCAATTTCAGATGTCCAAACAACTTCCAAGCAGTAAAACCCAAAGGAATTGAAACAAGACCATGTTCCTGTTTGGTTAAATTAAAAAGTCACCAGATACAACTGATCTCTGCCCCAAAATCCAGCCCAGGGAGGTGGTGGAGCCACCAGCCCTGGAGGTGTTTAAGAGGTGTCTGGATCTGGTGCTGGAGGAGATGGTTTAGGGGTTAGAGCAGTGACAGGTTAAAGGATGGAGCTGATGACCCCAGAGGTCTCCTCCAGCCTGGATGGTTTAGGGGTTAAAGCAGTGACAGGTTAAAGGTTGGACTTGATGATCTTAGAGGTCTCCTCCAACCCTGATGGTTCTATGGTTTAGAGTTTAGGAGTTAGAGCACAGGCACTTGAATATTGCCTGGGGAGGTGGTGGAGTCACCATCCCTGAAGGTGTTTGAAAGGCATCTGGATTTGACACTGGAGGATATGATTTAGGGTTTAGGGGTTAAAGCAGTGACAGGTTAAAGGTTGGACTTGATGATCTTAGAGGTCTCCTCCAACCCTGATGGTTCTATGGTTTAGAGTTTAGGAGTTAGAGCAGTGATAGGTTAAAAGTTGGACTTGATCATCCTTGAGATCTCCTCCAACCTTGGTGATTCCATGGTTTAAAGGGTTTAGGGGTCAGAGCAGTGACAGGCTAAAGGTTAAACTTGATGATCTCCTCCAACCTTGGTGATTCCATGGTTTAAAGGGTTTAGGGGTCAGAGCAGTGACAGGCTAAAGGTTAAACTTGATGATCTCCTCCAACCTTGGTGATTCCATGGTTTAAAGGGTTTAGGGGTCAGAGCAGTGACAGGCTAAAGGTTAAACTTGATGATCTCCTCCAACCTTGGTGATTCCATGGTTTAAAGGGTTTAGGGGTCAGAGCAGTGACAGGCTAAAGGTTAAACTTGATGATCTCCTCCAACCTTGGTGATTCCATGGTTTAAAGGGTTTAGGGGTCAGAGCAGTGACAGGCTAAAGGTTAAACTTGATGATCTCCTCCAACCTTGGTGATTCCATGGTTTAAAGGGTTTAGGGGTCAGAGCAGTGACAGGCTAAAGGTTAAACTTGATGATCTCCTCCAACCTTGGTGATTCCATGGTTTAAAGGGTTTAGGGGTCAGAGCAGTGACAGGCTAAAGGTTAAACTTGATGATCTCCTCCAACCTTGGTGATTCCATGGTTTAAAGGGTTTAGGGGTCAGAGCAGTGACAGGCTAAAGGTTAAACTTGATGATCTCCTCCAACCTTGGTGATTCCATGGTTTAAAGGGTTTAGGGGTCAGAGCAGTGACAGGCTAAAGGTTAAACTTGATGATCTCCTCCAACCTTGGTGATTCCATGGTTTAAAGGGTTTAGGGGTCAGAGCAGTGACAGGCTAAAGGTTAAACTTGATGATCTCCTCCAACCTTGGTGATTCCATGGTTTAAAGGGTTTAGGGGTCAGAGCAGTGACAGGCTAAAGGTTAAACTTGATGATCTTAGAGGTCTCCTCTAACCTTGGGGACTCTCTGATTCTAAGCAGGTATCAGACAGGACCTCCCTGAAGGACTCACCGAGTGCTTTGCAGAGCTCTGGGTGTTTGATGCCGATGGTTTTCAACCTCTGCAGCAGCTCTGCTGAGGTCATCTGCCTCACCAGGTACAGCCCCACGGAGTAGCTCTGGGGAGAGAGGG